GTGTCGAAGGAGAGGTTGGGACTTTAGATCCCCCCATTTCTGAGCTTACCCCTGAAGGCACTAAAGTCCCTCCTCCTACCTCCACCGAGGTCTTAGTCCATGAGGTTTCTTCTACTCTAGCTAGCTCCCCGATCTTTACTCCTATCCTCACTACTAGAGCCGCTAATTCTCCACTTACTCCAACTGATGCTTCCGCCAATGTCTTTGTTTCCAGTGAGGTCCCTGCCGACATAGAGGCCCAGGCTTATGAGCTGACTTCAGCTTCAGCTGGAGATGAGGTCCCAGCTGACCTTGAGGCTCTGGCTTCTGGGCTGACCTTGCCACTAGCTGGAGACGAGGTTCTTGCCCCTACTCCTGCTTCAACTGAGATCCTTCTGCCCTTGCCTGCTTCTGACCTTTCTAAGAATTCTACTGCTGAGCTAACAGATGCTGATTATGTTCTTGTGCCAGAGACTTAAAATTTTTCTTCTCTATTGTTGTTTTTTTTTTTTTTTTTTGTGGAACTTCAAATGTTGTTTAGTTTTCTTAGCACTCTGCTACTTTTTGGGAGATGTAACTATACATTGCTTCTTTGAATTGTTGTATCATTTTTGTGCTTCTGTTTTGTTATCCTATTATGATTTTGCTATGCTCTTACTCCCTTTGCCCCCATACTTCGAGGAGGACTTAATTATTCTTGAAGTAGGCTTGTCAAGAATTGTTAAAGAACTGAGGAGCTAAAGAGTTGCTGGATGGATGAGTTTTGCTTATGTTGGGCTAAAGATCTTTTAGCTTGAGCTTACACTCGCATAGAGTTACGTTGCTTATGATCTGAGGTCTTCCTGAATAATCCGAGCTCGCAGAGCTGGAGCAGCAAAACTAAACACTGACTCTCTCCTTATTGTTTTGAGCGCCCACCTACTTTCAAATTTGTAACTACTGTAAAGATTATGGAGACGCAAAGGATGGGGGTGTCCTTCTATCTTCCCATGTTTCTTGTCCCTTTAAATTCAGGATTTCTTGAAGTTTCCTTAAACTTCAGACTTCCTATTGCATACGAGACTAGGGATCCTCAGATTATCTTCAAGCTTCGGGATTTCTTCTTGTTTGTCATTCTTGGGTTCACATTCTAAGGATTCCTTTCTCTCTGTGTCCCCTATTTTCTTATGATTTCCAATGGCTGCCTCTCCCTATCCTCTTTTCAAGCAAAGATCGTCTACTGGGATTGATTGGAGGTGGCACTCCAAATACTTGGTTCCATCAGTGATAACATCCTCAGAGTTGGATGGGATTAAGAGGCAGTTTTTTCCTTCTGTGGACTTGCCTCTGCAAATCCCAAGCCCTGATGAGCCCTGTAACTTTCTTTCTCAAGGGGAGGTTTGTTTTTTTGAAGGCGCCTTTGAGATGGGCCTTCATCTCCCCATCCACCCTTCTATTGGGTGGATTCTTGCCTACTATGGGTTATGCCCTTCTCACCTCTCTCATCGAGGGTGAGGCGTTATGACTAGTTTTTTCCTTTTTTGGCACTTGCAAGGCAATGATGAGTTCCCCACTCTTGCCGAATTCCTCTACTTCTATGAACTTGAAGAGGGCGACCTCCCCTATTTCAATAGCTTTAGATGGAGGCATTTCTTCGACACTCTGCAGATCCTTGAAATTCCCTTTTCTCCTGATGGGTAGGCTCAACACTTTTTCTTCGCCTCTGGAGATTCTTGGAGGTCCACTGAACAATGTTGTGTGGAGTTTAGGGTTCCTCGTTCCTGGGAGAACTTTTCTTACAAAGGTAGAGGTTCAGGAATTTTTTTCTACTAGATTCATGGTGATTGGCTTCTTATAATAATTTCATGGTGCGGGTGTGCCCAGCTTGACCCCGAAAGAGCTACTAAGGGTCAATCAAATGGCCCATGTTGAGCCAGTCTCCTTTTCAGAGCTCGTCACGCCAAAGAACCTATCCCTGTTCAGTGCTGCAGCTTCTGCCTTTGAATTTGCTTCCTTCCCTATTTCTTCTAATTCCTCCCCCACCAAGTCGGATGAAGAAGGGGATGCTACTACGTCTTCTAGAAAGTGCAAGAGGAGTGACTCTTCTTCTTAGTCATCTGGCTCTTCCTTTGGTACCATTTTGTTTTCTTCTACTAGGATAGGGCTTTCTAGGAAGCTTACTAAGACAGAGAAAGAGCGAGATGAACTGAGGGACGAGAATGCAAGCATGCGGGCAGTGAATACCTCCTTGGTGGAAGAGGTCACTAAGCTAAAGAGGCGACTCAGGGGGGCTTAGAATTTTTCTTCTTTTTTCTTCTTTTTCTTGTACCCCACCATGCTTTGATGAATGAGAAAATTTGACTTTCTACTTTGCTTATTTTCTTGCAATTGTCCTTTAGTTCTTTTGAACTTAAGTGCAGTAGAGCTCCTCGTTATTTATGAGTTAAAAGAGCTCATCTTTTATTCATAACCTGAAGAACTCATCGTTTGTTTATGAGTTGAAGAACTCATCTATTATTCATGAGCTGAAGAGCTCATCTATTATTCATGAGCTGCAAAGCTCATCGTTTATTTATGAGTTAAAGAGCTCATCGTTTATTTATGAGTTAAAGAGCTCATCATTTATTTATGAGCTGAAGAGTTAATCTCTTTTTTTTTTATGAGTTGAAGAGCTCATCGTTCATTTATAAGTTGAAGAGCTTATCTTTTTTTTTATGAGCTGAAGAGCTCATCGTTTATTTGTGAGTTGAAGAGCTCATTTTTTTATGAGCTAAAGAGTTCATCGTTTGTTTATAAGCTTAAGAGTTCATCGTTAGCTTTTTAGCTACTCAATGGAATCACGCTGGGGTGAGTCAAAAACTTGTTGTTCTATTGAAGATAGTTTTTCTTACAAAATAAACTCACTGAAAAAAATCTTTTCAGATGCTCTATGTTCCAAGAGTGAGGTAGGACTTGTCCTTCCTCTATTTGTAATTCGTAGTTCCCAAGTCTGACCACCCTTGAGATGATGTAAGGATCATTCCAATTAGGACCCAACTTTCCATGAGAGGGGTCCTTTCTTGCGGGAATGAGCTTTCTAAATACTAGATCTCCGACGCTAAAACTCCTGTGTTTAACCCTTCTGTTATAGTATCTTGCTCTTTTCCTCTAGTAACTCTTGACGCGAAGTAGAGTTTTGTCTCTTTTTTCATCCAAGAGATCGAGATTCAGCAAAAAGCAACTCTTCGTTGTGCTCGAATTCTGAGAATTCAGTCCTGGGGGATGGGACCCCAACCTCTACAAGCACCACCACTTCAGTTCCGAAGGCCAAAGTGAATGGTGTCTCTTGAGTCACTGATCTGGAAGTTGTTCTAAAAGCCCACAGCACTTCTGGGATATGTTTTGCCCATTTCCCTGTCAAAGCTTCTTGCTTGGTCTTTAGGACTGCCTTTATGGTTCAGATGGTGTCCTCTACTTTCTCATTGGATTTTGGATGAGCCGGAGCTGAGAAGTAATTATTTATTGTTTGCCCCTTAGTGAGGACTTTTTACAGTATTTATAGCCTAATTTCTAATTAAAAAGGGTATACAACGAGATTTTCGCCTTTCCCTTGCAATTTCTCGCTTGATTCTAGGCAATGGTTGTGGCGATTGAGGATCTTTCGCCTAGACTGGCGCTTCCTGCTATTGAGGAGGCGTGTTGTGGTTTCTAGCTGTCTTCTATGTGTTTTCTTCTGGGTGCAAGTCGAGAGGGTCCTGGACCTGATCTGTCGAGCTCAGGATCTCCTAGCTGAGCTCTCCTCCTGACCTCCACTCCCGAGCTTAAACTTGAAATTTCATTTACGTACCATCAAAGATCATACGCTATTATATTGTTGTTTTGTTTGGTTACTGCCCTTGGTTTGAGCCTTACTCATGACACTCATATTAGATTAATCCTCTCTTTGTGGAGCTCATTGCAAACCCTGTTGTTTTGAGCAATACTAGACTTAATTAGATAATCTAATTTGAGCGCTTAATTCACTATAACCACTAGAATAAGAGTGAGCCACAGTGTTCAATGAGACCCACTTTCAAATCTCACATTTCTAATTGGTAGATCTCTAAAATATATGGTTAAATCATAACAAAGTAACATTTTTTCTCTCTTTTTCAGCAATGTTACGTTGACAAAATTTTGTGACCAAATTAAGAACTCAAATAATATGACCGTACATTATTTGGAGTTTTTATTGGAGCCTAAATGACATGACACCAAATAAATAAGTCCAGGTCAGCTACCATATCATTTAAATTCTTAATTTAATCCCAAAATTTGATGAGTGTAACATTACTGCTCCTTGTTTCTTCCCTCCGGCAGTAGGCAAGCTTTTGTTTTTCTGTCACACTGATTTTACATGTTTTTTTCCCTGTAAGTACACTGTCAATAATAGATCGGTTTTACTTGCCAAAAAATAGAACAGTTGTTACATAGATCGGCCATGGCAAATTTCAGATGGTATCCTGAGGAACGGAGCACCGTCCTACCACGTGCCAATCAGAAAAAAAAAAAGTCAAGCAACAGTTAACCCTTTTTTACTCTTACTCAATATCGATCCTCACATGCAAGCGTTGACCCATCAACTAGCTCCTTTTTGGGTCGAAGCACTCTCCTCCTCATCATCCCCCCACCCCACCCCACTCCACAAAAGAAAAACAACAACCACCAAAACCCACCCCACCCACTAATCATACAGAAGAGAAGTCAAATAGTAAAACACCACTAACCATAACGGTAATGCTATAACAGTTGCAGTGAAAATTATAAGAGTAATCTCACATTAAATTTTGGAATTAAATTTAGAGCTCAAATAACATAACAGTATATTATTTAATTTATTTATTGAAACTCAAATGACATAGCACCAAATAAAAAAGTTTAAATCAACTGTCATATCATTTGAATTCTAAATTTAGTCCCCAAATTTGATCAGCGTAGTATTATTAAAACTATAAAATAAAATTAAAAAAAGGAGTTAAAACAGCACATGTAGTTTTACAGCATTTCATTAGGGGAAAACTGAGTTATGTCCAAAGGGACTCTATTTTCAGAGGGTCTTGGATTACATTGCTAGAAGAAGCAAAACTGAGATACTGGTGAAGATTATTCAAGTTACTACTCGAGAAAAGAAATGATTTCTCATTAGCTGGAGGTGGGTCCATCTGTGTCGGCAAGGCAGGCTCTTGCTGCATCTGGATGCATAGAATCTCTGCTTGAGCGACTGCGAGCTGCATTTGTAATTGGGACACTTCATTCTGTAGGAAGGAGATTGCACCAACGCATCCATACACCGGGTCTCGCATTCTTGCATTTGCTTCGTATACTAAACTGCTCACTGCATCCCCTCTCTGATGAATCGGAAGCTCCTGTACAAGAATACCCACCAAACAAAATTATATATACAAAATCCAACTAGATTTCAAACAAATGAACAAAAAGCTGTACTCTATATACACACATATAGAAGAGACATCGAAAAAACTCGGCAATAAATACATGAAGAGAGAAGAGATGGGAGCCGGTCCTCATACCCCCGTAGAAAAAGGGAGGAAAGGGACATAAGCATGGGTTTTTCTTTTCCACCAAATCCCTGTACTTAGTCTTGTTTTTTAGCAGAAGACATAGAGCTTTTTAATAAATGATGTCATCCTGGACTCACCAAGTGAAGCCCGGCCAATCTCTATTCATTAGCTCAATGCTAAAAAGTGTTTGACAAAACATAAGTGCATATGATTTAACGGAAGATATGCTGATACACGTATATATATAAATAAAAATACATAGAGAGAGGGCAGGAGGGAAGAAGACCTGCAACATCTTGCTGACATTGCTAGCGCCAAAAACCTTGTGAACCATGGCAAACTTATGAGGGTCATCGGGAGGGAAGTAAGGGGCAAAGATGCAGTCTTTGGTGCAGCGACGTCTCAACAACTTGCATGAAGCACAGGGTGAGCTTCCCCCCATTGGGTGGTGTAGGAGAATGTAACTACTACAACTATAGCACAAGCGCAGTTTGGAAGGGAACGAGGGAATGCCTATTTATAATAACTACTTGAGGAGTTGTTGGTCAAGTGTACAATGGATCCATGCTTAAAATTATTTTAAATAAACTAGTCATTTAAACGCAATTATCAGTTTGAAATAGAATGAGAGAGAGAGAGAGAGAGAGAACTAGAATTTCCTGGTGTTGAAAGAAATACCCACAACGTGAGTTCAAACGTGATTTTACAGTTATAGACTGCGAGATCAGAGAGCTGTGGCACTGTAACCGTCAAGGGTAGTTTGGTCATTTTAGTGTTTTGGTACAAATCGTTGTGTAGAATCAAGGGTAAGGTTTGACCACCGTCGTGGTGCGTGATAGGCAGGCGATCTATGCATATGACTCCTCCTCTAGGGTGTTGTACGAGTCGATAGAGAGAAACATATTAACAATAAAATAAAATAAAAATCAAACTTATTATTTAATGTTTAGATAGACTAAGCGCAATAAATTCAAGAGAAAACAACTAGGGTTAGGATTTAGTAATTAAATAGTTAGAAATGTGGTGTGAAACGACGCAAAACCCTAACCAAGACCGAGAGATGGAAATAGAGATGGTCTCGACGTGAATGTTTGTTGGCAGACATTCACATGGAAACATCAAAATTGATACATACAACATGTTTCTCTCATCATTTGATCAACGGACACAATCTAATTAGGGTAAATAATCAAAAATTAAAGAGACTGAGAATACCAACATTGACCATGCACCCTTCAACCTGCTACCATCAAAAATGGCGCCCACCACCGTTTTCGCACAGCAACACAAACGTTGTGGGAAACTGCCTAACTCCTTCGATGAGGGACGGACATTCCCTTGTTTTAGGTAATACTTTCATCTTTCTAATTTCAAACGACTTCATTCCTCGTTTAAGGAAAATACTAAATTAAAATGCAACCATTAAATTAAAATTGTGTTTCATCTAATATTCTAATTCACAACAATCTAATAACTGCATTAAATTAAGTTCTTATAACATTTTTCATCTTTTAAACACCACCAGAGGATAAAATTTTAAAAAATGCCGTTCCAATATGCATTTGTAAAAGCTGTTAAGGGGAATTAGACCATGCATGTACATTGTATTGTAGTGCCACAAAAACTGACACACTCATCCATGATATACAACTTTACAGCAATAATCAATTACATAAAAGTCATACCCAATAAAAAAAGACTTCTGATTATAGCGGAATTTGAATAAGATAAATGATAAACAATGTTGCCTTCAATTTTGGAGAAATTGATCTACAAATCAAACCTGCAACTCTGTGCTTGAATCGATGAACACTTATAATCATCACATCCGATCTTTATATCTTCATGGTTGGATGAATTTGTGATAGTCCTAATTTTTGTGTCATTAGTGGAACACACCCATGACCATATTGCATGAATAGACTGCAGCAAACTACAAATCCAAGCATAGTTGAATATTATAATGGCAACAAAGACAATAATGCAAACGAGTTAATGTGATCTGACACGAAATTAGGTGATATTTCCTTCAATATAATTTTCTCTATTTTTTTTACAAGATCACTTATCGTGAATACACGTGGGACTCATCGTACATAACTCAATTCCTCACTCATTATTGATGGATGATTTATCCACAAAGGAAAAAAGTATTAGATGAGAATTAGGTCTCACGAAATTGAGATCTAAATTAATAATAGAAACTCAATGTAATGGGCTAGTTGTCACATGGATAAGATTAATTTAGGAGTTAGGCATCTGATTACCAATACTTTCCCATGCACAAGAAAAAGATTCCACATGAAGGGAAGCATGCAACAAACACATAATTATAATCCCCATCACGAGGTTTCTGAATCAATACCAAAAATTATAAATAGTTGTAGGAACCCTAAGACCGATTCCCACTCCCTTGCATTTAATGCTCTTCACATGATTCCAAGCTTCAAATCTTCTATTCCGAGGAAAACAGCTCTCTTCCCCTAGTTGTCATAGAATAAATTAAGTCTATGTTTTCTCTTAGACTCTTCGTATTAGACTAATAAGAAAATGGACCTCTGTGCAACTGTGTTGAATTTCTTTTCAGTGTATTACCTCACAAAACGCGTACTTTCAGTTTTCAGTGGCAAGTTTCAAACACCTACGCTCTAGGAAGAAGAGATAGTGGACAGGATGAGAAGCTTGTAAATTATATATATGTTTTTGAAGTTAGTGAATAAAGTAGTAGAAAAACAGACATCTTCACCGTCTTGGACAAATTAAAACATGGGAGCTCCAAGGCAAACATTGAATGCGCTTGGTGATATGGAAGATTCTATTTTTGAGATTTGCATGTGCATGCTTCTTTTCAAATCCTGATGGTGGAGACTAGAAGCAATCTTAATTTGACAACAGCAACTCCTTAGTCAGGGGTTTGAAGAGGCAACTAACAATAGGGTTGGGTTTCCGACGCAATGGTTTGGGTAAATTACACTTTTCCCCTCAAACTATTGTCCTAGTTTTTACTTCATCCTATGCATTATCAATTTTCTCGAATGATCCCTCCAATTATGTAAATTGTTTCTACACCGCCCAAACCCCAAACGACAATTTGATTTTGGACCAAAAAAAAAAACAAAAGGAACTATCAAAAAAGAATTTAAGGGAAACAAATTTATTGACTCGCACAAGACCTCTTGCGAGGAGAATTTCGCATTATGTGTCACACCACCTCATATGGATGAAGAGGACGGTGAGGAAGTTTTGAGTAACCTACAAGATCAAGGAACACCTAGGGCCTTAGTGCCTTATACTAGCTCCTAGATATTTGGAGTAGTATCGTACTAGGACTCTGATGTAGCGGAACAAAGAAATACGAAGAACACTACGATTCTAAGTGTATAAAACAAAGGTATTGTGAATCCACAGAGAAAGTAACAAAAGAATAACTCTGAAAAAAATGTATATTATTCAATGAATAATTCATATTACATAAGAGAATATATATATAGGAACGGCCAAAACTTTAATCGTCACCATAATAAAGGTAAAATCTCTAGTTATACGAAAATTACCAAAAATAGAAAATTGCAATCTAACTAATTAATATAAAAGGATGTGTTGTTTGAAGTCCAACCCAACTGACGACACTGAATTCAAAATCTCCTATGATTTATTATTAATTTTTAAATTCTTTTCTAAAACGGCAAAAATGAGGTTTTGAGGGCATAAGCAATGAAATTCAACACAAAACTGAAGGAGTTCATGGCAAAGTAAGGAGTCTTAATCGTTGGTCCGATCCAGATCAAACACTACTGGTCTTAATCAATTCTAAGTCAGGACCATTTTGCATCTACTATTATCTTTTTGCTTTCTTTGGGCCTTGGACGCACAGCAGTCTTCCTACTCTAAGTAATCAGCATTCACTTATTATACATCAGTCCCTCCCCCTTGAAAACAACTCGTCCTCGAGTTAACTTGTGAAAGTTCTATGAAATCATAATAAAACTCGAACAAGTTTTTCACATTAAAAGTACTAGAGATGCCCATATCTGCAGGAAGATCAACAACATAAGCATTGTCATTGATCTTCTTCAAGATCTAAAAAGAATCAATCTTCTTCTGGTTGAAATTGTTGTATGACCCAACTGGTAACCTCTCCTTATGCAGGTGAATCATAACCTTGTCTCCCACCTTAAAAATCTTCTGTTGGCAATGCTTGTCTGTTGCCTCCTTATATTTAGCGACACCTCCAATTGTTGCCTCACCTCCGCATGCACATTTGTCAACTTCTCCATATGCTCAGGCACAATGTTCATCCCCGAGATCTTTGGTAATGGAACTATATCTAGCATGTGTAAAGGCACACGAATATAGACAATCTGAAATGGAGACTTGTCGGTGGATCTATTCGGCACATTGTTGTAGACAAACTCTACTCGGGATAAAGTATTATTCCACTGCTTCGAATACTCTTTGCAAAGGCTTTGCAAGATAATTCCCAAGGTCCGATTCACTACTTCTATCTGCCCATCAATCTATGGATGACTCGAGCTATTGTACTACAACAAAGTATCCAACCCTTTTCACAAAGTTCGCTAGAAATGGCTAAGGAGCTTGTTGTCATGATTGGAAGTAATTTTCTTTGAACGACCATGCAAACGAACAACTTCCCGAAAGAAGTAGGCGACATGAGAAGCATTTGAATTTTTCCTACATGGAATAAAATGTGTTATTTTGGAAAACGTATCAGCCATAACATATATAGAGTCCATACCATGTTGAGTCCGTGGAAGACCCAACACAAAGTCCATAGACAGATCCTCTTACAGTGTATCTGGAATAGGCAAAAGAATGTAAAGCTCAGTATTGTGCATGTCCCTTAGCAATTTGACATGTGTAGCACTTCTTAACAAATCTCTCCACATCTCTCTTTAGTTGAGGCCACAAGTAACGTTGTTCAACTAAATCAACGCTCTTATCTCTGCCCATGTGGCTTGGGAGACCCTCGGGGAATGCAAAGTCGAGCATCCTTGAATAAGAAGCCCTCATGGACCTAAAAATCCCCTAAAACTTCATGTGTATCCAAGCACTAGGCCCAAATCTGTTGAAAGTCCTCATGTCCTGTATAGAATTCTTTCAAATCGTCAAAGCCAATTACCTCATTACGAACAGTAGTCAGCAACATAGTATGTCGACTCAATGCATCCGCCACCTTATTCAACTAGTCTAACTTATGCTTCAAGGTGAAGGAGAATTTTTGAATTTTTGCCACCCACGTATGCGAACAGTTAGGGGTAGTAGAATTATTAAGATACTTCAACTCCTGGTGGTCAGTATTCAAAAAGAATTCCCTCTGAATTAGATAATGTTGTTAATGTTGTAAAGCTCAGACAACTGTATAGAACTCCTACTCGTAGGTAGACCATTTTTACCTCACCTCACTAATTTTTTCACTAAAGA